TACCCCTGCATCATGTTGCTCCATCAGTAGTGGGTTAATCTAGCCCTGAATGTGGTGACTTATCAAGATCTTTCTGTGACACATTGATGAGTCAGGATCCACCCTTTGGGAAACACTGGTATAAAAGATCCCACTTTCACTGATCAGTTTATATTTTCTCTTTAATATACCACTACTCCTAATTACAGCTCCTTTTACTACTCTGAATAACTTTGTTCCCTTCATTGTGTTTACATTTTTAAATGGCTGTTGATAATTATTATGCTCTCCATTTTAGGCTTCATTTCAAATTATCTACATTGGGTTCTTTTAATCTTTACTCTTAATTCAGTGCTCCAGCCCTGTAATCAATATTGGTATTAGAGGTGACAGACCAGGAAAAATATTTCTCTTGAGCCCTACACTGCCAGTTTTTTTCAAAACTAGCCAAATATTATGGTTGCTTGTTCCCCAGGATTCTTCAAAATCGGGATCCTCTCTAAATAGGAAAAACTTCAAAAACAGACTCCAACGAGAGACTGCTGAGCTGGAATTGATATGCAAACTAGACACAATCAACTCAGGATTGAATAAGGACTGGGAATGGCTGCGCCATTACAAACATTGAATCTATCTCCCCTTGTAAGTATTCTCACACTTCTTATCAAACTGTCTGTACTGGGCTAGCTTGATTATCACTTCAAAAGTCTTTTTTCTCTTACTTAATTGGCCTCTCAGAGTTGGTAAGACTACTCCCACCTGTTTATGCTCTCTGTATGTGTGCATATATATCTCCTCAATATTTATTCCACTCTGTATGCATCCGAAGAAGTGGGCTGTAGTCCACGAAAGCTTATGCTCTAATAAATTTGTTAGTCTCTAAGGTGCCACAAGTACTCCTGTTCTTTTCTCTAAATAGGGCATTTGTATGGCTGCCTGCACCCCTGCTGGGATGCAGCAAACACAGACAGGTGCCTGCTGCTTAGAGATACTACCTTATACAGCACCACTTTTGGTGCCACTAGCTGTGGGGAGTAGGAACAGGCTCCAGGGCTTCCCCTTCACCATGTCCTTCTCTCTCTCTTCCCTGTTCTCTTCTCTCTTTCTTTCCCTGTCTTTCACACACAAGCATATACCATGAAATGAGGGAGCTGGAAAGGGTGGGGAACAGGGAAAAGAAAGAGTGAGTAGTAGAAATAATCAATGTGGGATATGAAATGGATAAGGAAGGAGACTGAGCGAGAGTAAGGGCTTGGCTACACTGGCACTTTACAGTGCTGCAACTTTCTCGCTCAGGGGTGTGAAAAAACACCCCCCTGAGCACAACAAGTTACAGTGCTGTAAAGCGCCAGTGTAAACAGTGCCCCAGCGCTGGGAGCCATGCTCCCAGCGCTGTAAGCTAATCCACTTGTGGAGGTGGAGTACCTGCAGCGATGGGAGAGCTCTCTCCCAGCACTGGCGCACAACCACACTCGCACTTCAAAGCGCTACCGTGGGAGCGCTCCCGCAGCAATGAAGGAACAGATGGAATGAGGACATGTGAGAGACTGCACTCACATCGCCTGATTCTTATCTCATTTACTCTACTTTTACACTGGTGTCTAAAAACTCTCACAGTTCAATTGTGTGTGTCACAACATTTGGTGTTTTTTTGAAAGTCCTGGACCCTAGAGTCATGTGAACACACTAGAATCTCAGCTTTCATTTAAAAAAATAGTAAGTTTCTGGCCCTCGTGGTTGCAGAGATAAACTTGAGAACCCTAAAGGCAAATAAAAAGAACTCCTGATATATTATTTTTAAAATCTCAATTTTTATGACAAATCTTACAGTTTTGTGGGGACCTGACTCCTGATTTGTGGATGCTTGGGATGGGCTCTGTTATGTGTCTGTTTTCTGCAATGGTGTTTCTCCTGGTTTAACTGGAATATATAAGAAGAGATTCAGACATTAGGTATTAAATTTAAGCTTGGGAGTTATTCATTCCACACACAGAAAAAAAATTGGAACAAATGTTGCTTACATCTTGACTGATGTGTTTTGAACTAGCTAAGACCTTTATGAAAATGTAAGCTCTGTATTACACCCCATCTACACAAATAACCTGTACTTTGTTCTTTCCTAGCATCTTCTTTTACACTTTCTAACTGTCATTCTCCTTTTTTCCTGATTTTCAGAATTTAAATATGTGGCTGAAGCTTTTAATCATTATCACTAAAATTTAGCTTTACAGTTTTTATTTTTATTGGTTTTATTTTATTTTGCATGCTCTGCGGCAGGATAGAAAGATAGTTGAACTTATTAAAAAATCCATTTTTTAAATATTTTCTCTTACAATATTCCCTCAGTCAACGGCAAAACTCCCACTGACTTCAGTAAGAGCAGAGACAAGACCTCAGTTGTAACATTAGTCTCTGATTTCTCATGTCATTTTGTCTTGAACATCAAAACAAAACAAAAACAGTAAGAGGACTCAAAAATTGTCACCATGACTAAACAGTAGATTAAAAGAGGCAGTTAAAGGCAAAAAGACATCTTTTAAAATTTGGAGGTCAAATCCTATTGAGGAAAATAGGCACATAAATTCTGACAAGTCAAGTGTGAAAGTATAATTAGGCATGCCAAAAAAGAATTTGAAAAGCAACTAGCAAACAATACAAAAACTAACAGTAACACATTTTTAAGCCTGCCAAACAATCAGTGGAGCCACTGGAAGATCAGGGTGCTAATGGAGCACTCAAGTAAGACAAGGCTGTT